GAGGTCACCCCTCGGAGCGGGCAGCTGTGCTGAGGGCCCCAGCTGTGTACCCAGGCACTCGGCCAGTGTGGGAGGCATGACTGGTCTCGGTCAGTGTGCCCCGCATGACTGGTCCCGGTCAGTGTGCCCCACTGTGTGTCCTTGAGGAAGTTCCACACCGCTGAGCCCTGCATCCCCACTGTGTGAACTAGAGAAGAAAACACTCCTCGAGACCAAGGCCAACGTCTTTAGAGGTCTCTGGGACCAGAGCCACCCCAGGTGCCTCGCCCAGCAGCATCCCAGCCAGGGCTTGTCCCAGACTCTGCCAGGAGCCAGGGCAGGCTGCAGTGCCACCTGGGGTGTGCAGTCGGTGGGAGGACAGGGACAGGCGAGAAGTGTGCACTGGCCGAGTGCCTGGGTACACAGCTGGGGCCATCAGCACAGCTGCCGGCTCTGAGGGGTGACCTCCCTTCTGTTTGGGGCCAGCCCAGACGTCAGAGCGTCCTCACCCTGGCAGTGTGGTCACGGTGGTCTGGGTGGTTCCATGCCGAGGGCTGTCCTGTGTACCTGGGGTGTGCACTGCCTTCCTTGTGACTACGTGAGGCCCGTGGCAATGCTCACCCTCCAGGGGTGACAGTGAACCTGTCTCCAGGTACCGGTGAGGACTCTGTGGAGAGCACTCCAGGGCTTGGAGCACCTGGTTGACTGGGGCGTCCCTGCCTGACGGTGGAGGAGCTGCTCCTCCTTCCCTCCATAGTGGGTAGGGGCCAGTGATACCAACAGCATATTCCCCGTCATGGTGGTGTCCTCAGTGTCAGGTCTTCAGGAGGCCACAACTAATGTCCTCATTGCCACTCGGGACTCAGATGAACCTGGGGTCTTCCCTGTTACTGGATGTTAATGACAACCCAGGGAGAGCCAGGGCTGAGCCCAGGGAATTCTCACAGGGTGCTCCAGCCCCTCAGAGAACTGGCAGACACCTACCCCACTGTGAGTCTGGGGTCCCTGCAGAATACTTGTTCAAGGTCTCTCCCCTCTGCTCAGAGGCCTCTCCTGGCTCCACCTGGGCCTGGGCCAGGGCTCGTTCCTGATGGGGACCTGGAAATGCTGATTTCTCCTGCAAGGACTAGGGAGCAGGGAGGAGACGGAGACTGCAGGCAGGGGCCTGGGCCGTGTCGGTCACCTGCTGGGTCACCCATGAACCATGTTTGAAGCACTAAACCTCATCTTTCACATGAGAGATGGAAGAGCGAGTCCCACTAAATGCGCATGTCAATCCCCACTGCAGAATGAGACCTGGCAGGCAGGTGGTGGAGAAGAGGACGGGGTGTGCAAGGTCACCACCTCAGGGAATCGGGGTTGTGACCCCAGATAAGAAAGAGGAAGGAGGTGAAGGGAAAGGGAGCAGGGTTATCGGAGGAGTTAATGAACAGCCCTCTCCCTCTGAGGCAGGGGTTGTGACCGAGACTCTGGAGTCCTCCTGGTACTGGCAGGCCTGTGCTGCCTGGTCCCCAGCTCCCCGGTTAGAGATCCCCATGAGGACGAACTTGTCAACCATGATCACAGCTTCAAATACCAATCTTTCTGCTCAGGGTTCACGGATTTCAGCAGCATGGTCGACGTCTACCGAAGAACAACCCATCAGTCAAACACCTCCAATGTCTTACTGTCCCCAATGTCCATCACAGCGGCCTTTGTGGTTCTCTCCTTGGGGGCTGAAGCCGATACCAGCGCCCAGATCCTGAGAGGCATTAACATCAACCTCTCGGATGCATACATGAATGTGATCCTGACATGCTACCGAGAGTTAAACCTCCTCTCCGAGTCAGAAAACTATCAACTGCCATTGGTCACTGGCACCAGCCTGTTCATTGACCGGAGTGTGAAGCTAAGGAGTGGGTTTGCAACAGATATACAAAATACCTACCACACTCACATCTTACCCATCACCTTCAGGGACTCCACCAGGGCCAAGGACCAGATCAACAAGCACGTGGAGAAGGAAACTCAAGGACTAATCCAGGATTCAGTCGATGATCTCCCAGAAGGCACCGCACTAGTCCTTGTCAATTATATCACCTTCCACGGTAAGAGAGCGCCATCAGCCTATGCTGGTTCCACGGAAGGAATCCAAACATTGTCTCAAAATACCAGGCCTAAATCTCTGCTTGACGGTGCATCATGGGCTAAGACAGGGCATCTCAACACGGGTTCATCAATTTTCCACCACAACGATAAAATACTTTCATTACCAATAACGCAGGAGAATGAACAGTTCCCAATGGTCAGCTCATTGTCTTCTCTCTATGGCATGGTGCCTTCCTTGTCCTACCCGCTCACTGTAAATCCCTACAAGGGAGGGGTAGGCTCGGGTGCTTCCTAAACTGCGGACCAGACACGTCCTCCACCCATACTCAGGAAGGATACAGTGTCGGAAAGAACTCTTTGGACCAGTCTAGACACAGGAGGAGGTTCAGCCTTGCAGCCTGAATGATTGGGGTTCTCAGCGTGTCTATGTCCTTATCAGCTAGTGACAAGTACCCAATAATCGCGCTTCATTGTGATGCCGACTTCGTATTTTTCCATGACCAAACTAATGCTCTTGCCGTAAGGTTTGGGAGGGACTGAACAAGGTATAAGAACAGGACTGAGTGGGGCGCAGAGTGGGTGATCCACCGACTTGTGCCTCGGCTGCCTCCTGCCTCCGAGTGGCTTGATTTCAGGCCACACCGGTGCTCAGGGCATTCTAGGCCACCTTCCTCTGCCCTGTGGGAAAGGCTGGACCAGAGCAGGGGTCCCAGCAGGGCTGTACCTCCTCCCTGGGGCTCATCTAGGCAGTTTGCACAGGGGAGACCCAGGAGGAGGTAACCAGTGGGGGGCCCAGCGCAGCTCTGGACACATGACCAGGCTCATCCCCTCTCCAGGCCCATCGCCACCACTCATCCTATGAGAGTTCTGCACTAAGTAGCCTTTGCCCTATCAGACTACCACGATGGAGCTGATCCCTTGCACATAGACGAGGAGGTGGCCATGGGATCCTTTGTAACAGGTTGGGTAAGGAGAAGCCTCAGAACAAGGACCAGGACAATACCCTGGAATGTCACAGAAGGCCCACAGTAGAGGGCAGGAGGCCTCCTTGAAGGACATGGCAAGCACAGAACCGTGACACTTCCTGCTCTCCATAGCTTTTCACAAGCAATTCCTTAGCTCCCTGCAAGTAAATATAAAATACAACTGAAAGTGTTTCCTCTGTGTAGCCTGGTGTCTCCATTGAGGCTAAGCATGGAGCAATTCTGTAACCTTCTCTACCCTCAGCTGGTTCTCACTAAGGTCCTTCAGCAGCCTGCTGATGCCATTTCAACCCCCTTTTCCAGACGGTGGAGAATATGAGGTTCGAGGAAATTGTGTCTTGAGGGCCAAGGGGTCACCTGCTACATTGTCCTGAGGATTCAAGGCCACCAATGGCTACCTTGTCTCTGCAGGGAAATGGAGCGGTACCTTGGAGGGGAAGCGCATCGTGGAGGAAGACTTCCATGTGGACAAGGACACCACCGTCAGGGTGCCCATGCTCAACCTCCTGGGGATATTTGACCTGCACAGAGACCAGAACTTATCCTGCTGGGTGGTACTGGAGCATATGAAGGGAGGAGCCACCGCCTTCTTCTTCTTGCCAGACCCCGGGAAGCTCCAGCAGCTGGAGGAGACACTCACCTTCCAGCACGTGAATGACATCCTAAAGACCTCCACAGTGAGGTGCTTCCCCAGGCCAGGCGCTGACCCAGAGCTGAGAGGATTCGATCATATCAGGACTGAGACCCCTGAGGACAGCCCAGAGGGCAGGAGAGGGCAACGACATCCCTCAGGTCACAGTTTCATGCAAACCTTAAGGGTCCACAGGGAGGCCAGTGCTCAGTCCCGGCAGTGCTGTCAGGCTCTGGGATACAGTCAGTGCTCAGACGACGGGAGCATAGACACTGTCCATCCGAAGCCCCAGTGCTCAGGCACAAACAGCCACGCCAGCGCCCCTTACACAGAACCAAGAACGAGCAGGGCCGGGGGCCAGCAATGCAGCATGGAGAAGGACCCGATGTCCTGGGAGGTCGGGGTAGAGCCTGCAAGAACAGACCAGGGAAGATGTGCCAGAGATGGGGTCTCCAGGATACCATCTGAGATGAGAACTTGTCTCTACCCTATCCCCAGAGTGGGGTCTGGGCCAGCAGGGAAGGCTCCCCGAGCACACTCCACAGTAGTGTGGACCTGCTCACACGCCAGAGTCCCCGACTGTGCTGAGCCACTGTACAGGATTAGGTCATGGCAATGTGAAACACCTCCAGGGACGAGCTGAAGCCCGGATGAGGACATCTGTGCCTTTGTCCACCCCATCCCTCCCGAGGTCCACACCAGGGCTAGAGAAGAAAATCCAGAGAGCTGTGACCATGGCTGGTCACTGAGCACTGAGTCCAGTCAACTCACCCATGTCGCACCCCCTGGGCCTCGCTGTTCCCCAGGGAAGAGGACAGCTGAGCATCAGCCTGGGGTGCTCACCTCCTGCTATCCCTAAAGGATGCCTTTGAGCACCTGTCACCAAGAACCCCTTTGTCCTGAAGAAGGGACAGGTTGGTAGGGTAGAAACCACTTGGTGCAGAGAGAATGAGACTTGCTCCCATGAGCACACCCTCAATCTGCCTGGAGGCCTTCTCCGAGGAGTTGGCATTGCACAGGCTGCCAGGAGAAGATGACCTGCTCCTGCTAATATGCTCTAGACCAGCTCTAGAGGATGCTGGAATTAGAGGAGCCTAAAGCCAGGAAAAACATCTGGACTTGAGGCAGTGGTGAGGGGTGGGTACACAGCACCAAGGGTAAGACACAGCAGAGTACAATGCACTGGTCCGACCTGACGTGTCTGTGCAGATGGGAGTCTCAGCCTTGCCATGAGCCACATGTTCTTTCTGCCCGACAGGTCAGTCAATCTGCAGTTCCCCAAACTCTCCATTTCTGCAACCTACGATCTGAAGGAAGTCCTGAATGACATGAACATCACGAAGATCTTCAGCAATGGGGCTCACCTCTCGGGAATCACAAAACATGCACCTCTGAAGCTCTCCAAGGTGAGGTTGCCCAGACCTCCTCGTCCCCCGGTGTCACAGAGGGTGCAGTGAAGGGATGAGGCCGAGGGAAGGGCCGAGGACAGAAAGGAAGACCCAGACTGCGCCCCTCCACCTGGACTGCGTTGATCCCCGAAGGTGGACGTGGGCAGGAGCCTGGGTGGGAGGTGGCTGCCTGTGCTGGGGTAAGTAGGGACCTGCCCTGAGACTCTCAGTGAGCCTCGATCTCCCCTTTACCCTGGCCTTCTCATCCTCGGGTCATAGTTGGGCCTGTTCCCTGAGAGGGGCTTGGGCTCAGATGCCCCAGGCACATTCTGGCCCCACCTCCTGTGTCTTTTGCATACTGGGAAACCACAGAGTCTGAATTTCACCAGAAAATGCCTGGCTGCCCTGTGGGCTGTCACCGCCTGCCTGCTTGTGGGCTGCCCAGGAGTGTCACCATGTGGTCCTGGTCCAAAGGAGCTAAATAGGACCCCAGTAAAGAGAGCCACGGGGTCCAGGACTCCGCAGCGGTTTTTCTCTTCTGGGAGGGAAGAGGGTGAGATGGATGTGAGGGTACCCCAGGGGAGCAGCTGCCTGGGGACAGGCTGAGCCAGGAGAAAGCCCCAGGTGCTCCCAGGCATTTACAGGAGGGTGTGCCCAGGGCAGGGAGGTCCAGGTGGATGAATTTCCACATGAGCCTCAGAGAGGAGGCACCTCATCTGCCCTGCTCGGGCCTGGACTTGGGCCGGCACAGCCTCAGAATGTTCCTCTTCTTCTCTGCGCTCCAGGCCGTGCACAGGGCGGTGCTGACCATCGATGAGAAAGGCACAGAAGCTGCTGGGAGCCCGAGTTTGGAAGACAGTCACTGGGCTACCCATCACACTATCAGGTTCAACAGGCCCTTCCTAATAGTCATCAAAGAGGAATTCTCTGACTTTATCCTCTTCATAGCTAAAGTGCTTAACCCCATGCTGAGATAACTGTCTATCTGCTCCTCCCCCAAGCTCAGCCCCTCCCTCCAGGACATTAAAAAAAGGCTATGCTGAGCCTGATTTGCAAATCCTCACCAAGCTGTCTGAGTGTGTCTTAGGGCCCAGGGGACATGTGTGGGTCCAGGTCAGAATTTTCTCTCATTTCTGAACAAATGTTCGGGAGGTTCCTCTCTTGTGCAGGCAATGCTGGCAGCAGGACCCTGGGAGACACCCCATCTTAGGACTCGGGCTAACTGGTATGGTAAACTTTCAGGCCTGTCTGGAAACCCAAAGTGGATAGCAGGTCTCTAACTTCACCAAACACCCACACTCTGCCTGCCATGTTCAGCCACCTTCTATTCTCACTGCCGGGAGCCCTTCCAGTGGGACAAAGCCATCCCCAGGCTGCCCTACTTGTTGCTCTCAGAGTTGCCAGCTTCCCCTCTGGCAACCAGCTGCAATGTCTCCAGTTAGAGTAAAGAGAAGACCATGTTCCTTCTTCTTCTTTTTTTTTTTTTTTTTTTCTTTTTTTAAATTTTTTTTTTTTTTTGGGGTTATAGGGCGCATGCGGTGAAAAAAAAGAGAGACATAGAGACAGAAAGCGAGAAATCACCCCCCAGGGGGGATGGTCATGCCGCAATCCTTTCTCCTCCATTCTCCTCTCAGGATCTTGGGCATGCACGCACACGTGCCCGGCGTGAGTTTTAAGCCACCGGGTCCAGGACGCAAATCGCGGTCTACTACGTGGGAGTCCAGTGACATAGCCATTATGCTAACTGCTGGTTCACACTATGTCCCTTCTTATGCCACCTCCCCAGGCTCGGGCTGACTTCCCAGGAGTTCTCTCTCCAGAAGACTGAGCATACCTCTTACTGTGTCCTTGGCATGCCGTCACTGCCCGGAAGTCCTCTTCCAGGTCATCTTGGACACAGTCGTCCTTCTTGGTGCAGAGGAGGGTCCAGGTGGTGGTCTCAGACACTCCTATCTCACCCGGGATCCAGGCCCCCACTCCCACTGCCCTACACCCTTCTCTCCCAAATCATGAGACCATGGTGTCATGGAGGGATCTCATTGCTGAGCTCCTTTATTATGGTAGGGGACGTCATAACGTGGACCCCCTGTGGACCCCACAGCCTGCATTCCTCTCGAGCTCGTGCTCTGTCTGGGGTCACATGCAACCTGCCACCTCCCTGCATATGGCCCTCTCTGTGGCCTCCAAGGATTACACAGCTACAGCCAGGACACCGGGGAGGCTCTCAGATAAGGCCTTGAGCCACCTGGGATGATGACTCAGACAGACTTCAGGAGGGAAGTTGGAGGGACCTGGCATGGCCCGAACAGGACGGTCAGTTACACATGCTCAGCTCCTCCAGCGTGAAGCCCACTTTCAGACATGCTGAGGGGGTGCCAGAGCACGTGGGACTGCTGACCTCTGAGTCACCACTGTAGCACGTCAGCAGCAAAGGGACGGCACCGCCACTAATAGTCACCGAGCCTTCTGACCTAGGAGTCAGAGCTGCATTTCCAGATGCAACGTGCTGACCTCCAAGGTTACTGGGGCCACAGTGAGCATGACGTTGTGAGCAATCCCAGCTGCAGGACTTGTGCTGTGCCTTTGTGTTACTGAACACACCCACGCACACACACACTCACACATACACACACACACACTCACACACACACACACACACACACGACCTCAGTTAGTCTACAGTGATTAAAGCATCAAAATGTGAAAACCAAACTTGGAGTGCATGTAACGAGAAGGAAGGACAGAGAAATCCCAAGTCCTGACTGTGAAAGGCTAAGGAGGTGAACAACAAAAGGGAAAAACTCTCAGTTCCCTCGAGCGCCACCGTGCAGGGCAGGCTCTAACCTGCGGGGCCTGCTAAAGGCTGACGCGCCCACACGAGCCAAGTGCCTTCAATTCTGCCATTGGGCAGGCGTCCGTCAAGGCTGGGGATTCCAAAGGTGAAGTGTCGAGGCATGAGCGTTCCCTGGTCTGGACACACGGACAGAACTTCAACTGGGAAATGGACTGACCGACGTGTGTCACGGACCAGGACCACGTACGGCTCAGACGGCGTCGCACCAGTTGTTCCGCGGGGCTGAGCCAGCGCAGGGAAGAACAGCAAGGACCTCAGGTGACAGCAGACACACCAGAGGCAGTCCACGTCCTGGGCCGAGACGGGCCTGAGGCTCATGTCCTGGACATGGCTCACTGGTCACCCAGGAACCCAGTGTCCCCGAACCCTTTACACTGACCAATAAATCCCAAGTGTTCAGGTCTGGCACAGTGACCTTGGGGAATTCTTCACTTGTGCTGAGGACTCCTTCTCTGTCTCGTCCTGAGCTGACGCTGGGGTGAGTGCCGGCCCTCTCTTACTGCCTCTGAGCTGCATAGCCAGGAGGACGCCAAGGACCGTGAGGTTGAGCTCCTTGGCCTGCCGGGATGTGCACCCAG